GTGCTGTTAATCCAAAGGCCTCACCTTTCTGGTTCAAATCCACCAGCAACCCTGTAGGAGAAAGATGGACAGTCTCTTCCTATAAGATTACAGCCTTCCTTCTGGAAGGTCAGCTCTGAGTCATTTCTGACTCAACAATAATGAGATAGTGAGTCTTGATGGTGAATGAGTACCAGGTCTTTTTTTCCCTTGGTGGATTCAAACCTCCAACCTCTCATTTAATAGCTGAGTGCTTAACTATTGTGCCTTCAAGGCCCTTTTTCAATTTTGGGTGACAAAAGAGGTGTAAATGCTGACTTTCCTGTCTCATTGTAGACTTTTTGCATGTATTCACTTACTGCCATCCAATTGGAACCAATGTGTAGTTTACCCTCTAAAGGGTTTCTGAGGCAATAAATTGCATGGGAGGAGAGTATCCTTACTTCTCCCAAGAAACCACTGGTCGATTTGAACTGCCCTAGAAGAGTAGTCTTTGAGTTGACAAGTCAATTCCTTGTGTCATGTTCTGTACTATTTTGTCTTTCCAGAACTTAACAAATAGTATTTTATTGTGAGAACCAATAATAAAACTTTTTGTTTGTCATTGTGTCATATCTTGTTTCCGTTGAAGACAATGCCTTCCAATGGTACTTTTATAATCAAACTGGAGAGGTCAAGGCCAGATGGTAGTATTTATCCAGTGAGTTCCCAGCTGCTTGAACAGTGACACTTGATAAGTACTAAACTACTGAATGGATAAACTTGGAAAATCATCCTTCTTGGCCATGATTTTTTCTTCACCATCAGTGATTCGACTCAACATAGTGTTGTTGTGTGCCATTGAATTGATTCTGACTCCCAGTGACTTCATAGGCCCAGAGTAGAAGTGCCCCATAGAGTTTCCTAGACTCTCCTTAGGGAGTTGCTTTGTAAACTCAAGGCAGTACCTCCCTAGTGGTTTGACTCCAAAGAAGAAAGATGGGATATCTCCTCTCATGTGATTTCAGCCTCTGAAACTCAGCGAAGTTCTGACTCAGTGGTGATGAAAGAGAATCCTTACTGTAATCTTTACTGATTTCCAGAAACTGGTGAGTTTAAGCCATTGATCTTTGATCAGCACTCAAGCACTTCACCACTGAGCCACTAGAACTCTTTTTAAGTTTGTAAACTTAGCTAGTGTGTCATAGAGGAGATTTATATATAGACTAACTCCCAATTTACGTGAAACTCTGATGAAATAGAACTGATCCCTCTTTAGCCTGCATTCAATGACTCAAAAGATTGTGAAGCTGCCCTAAACCTTAGGAGATCAGCCATGGAATATAATTCAATATCCTTTTCATGAATGTGTAAAAATCCCTTGCAGAATTAGACTCCTCTGATATGTGTTTTAAGTACCTAGCTTTTCTGGCCCAATGAATTGCTTGTCCTTCTACAACGTAACATACGTATTAATGGAGCCCAGTCCAAATATAAGCATACAGGGCATAAAAGATAGAGAAAGAAATTACTCCAGACAGTTCAATGCATTCAGAGCTCCTATTTTAACTGTGTCTGTTTGGGCCTGCTTAAAGCAGCAATCCAATTGCCCCCACCCCATTCAAATATAATTCTCCTAAGAGTTAAAGAATGTGTTGATCACTCCCTCCTTCTGGAACTGTGACAGTCACTGCCTATTCTTCAGTGCTTTTATTTCTTTATCTTTGTTAGTTTTTCTTTCTTCTACTCTACACTAAGGAAAAGAGGTATAATCTTCACTACAAATTGTGTCCTTTCTTTAACAAACCTAATGCTAAAACAAACTCCTTGACGTTGAATGAGCACCAACTCACAGCTTTTTAAAAATTGTTTTTGTTTTTAAAAATATGTCTATACTTTGAAAAAATGGAGAACATAGAAAATAAGAATACCCATAATCTTCTCATATTAACCCTCAAATAACTGCTTAAAACATTTTGGTGGGTTTCCTTCCTCTTTGTTCTACTTGTTTGTATGTTTGACCTAGTTCATAGTGTGGAAAGTGAACCTTCTCCAGAGGGTTTTGTTGTGAAGATCAATGGATCCAGCTAAACAAAGAGTACATAACCCCACATTTGTACATTTGTATAACTGTAACTGTATAATGTATTGCAGCTCATTGACACCCAGCATCTCACTGGGTGATTGCCAAAGATAGACTATTTATGAGGAAATTAAGCTGAGAATTGGGGGACTTTACCCCTTACTATCTGCCTGTAAAGGAGCAGAACCAGGATTTGAAATCTCTGGATTGATCTGTCATTTCCCCCCCATACAGTTTCTCTTTTCATTTCCAATGAGAGTCTATGTGTCTACAATATTCTGTTTGAGAGCAAGGACTTCTACTTCCTGTGGTTATTTTGAGCTACAGAGTACATTTTTTTTCTTCTAATTTAATGTATGTCCCAAGCTGCCAGCCTGGGAACGCTGCCACCAGCACATGCACAGCAGCAGTTTGCTCGCAGTGCACCAGTTTCCTTTGTCTGAGCAGCTGGGCTTGTCCTGGCCAGGAGGCATCTGGGGTGAAAAGCTGCCTCTCCTGGTTTCCTGTCAACAGAAGACACTTACCTCCCGCTGTCTACCTGAGTCCTGGCCTCAGCTGCCTTGGACCGGTTCAGAGCTGTGTTTACAACTAAGTCAGTGAGATCTTGCTGGGAGTTTGGATAGTCTAACAGAGAGCTTTCCATGTAAGTGGTACTGTAGGATCATTCACTCTTGCCTTTCTGCCACCCCCTCAACGAATTTCTTTACGACAAAAAGCAGATCCGTATTTGTGAAGAAGCTTAATTTCTGAATTTTCTTTCTTTTTCCTCTTTACTGCTTCTTTGTTTTGTTTAGCCTTTTTTGAGGGCTTTGGGTGGCATACTTTACATTCACCTGAAGGATGATGGTTCAAATCCACACAGACACACTGCTGCGTGGAGATCTGCTTCCATAAAGGTTATATTTGTGAAGGAGTTTAATTTCTGAATTTTCTTTTTCCTCTTTACTGCTTCTTTGTTTTGTTTAGCCTCTTTTGAGGACTTTGTGTGGCACAGTTTACATTCAATGATTGCTCTGAAGGTTGATGGTTCAAATCCACACAGAATCACTGCTGCCTAGAGATATCTGCTTCCATAAAGATTATAGACAAGCCAGCTTCATGGAGCAGTTCTACTCTGTATCACACGGTGCTGCTGTGAGTAGAAATGGATGGATGGCAATGGGCCATGTTTTGGATGGGTGGTTTGTTTTTTGCTTTTTATACCGGTTTACTTACAAAGTTCTTATACACTGTTTTTCACACCAGATTTTTCCCCTTTCCTTTACTCACCACTCCCTCCACCTATCAAGATTAAGGACCCCCCCTTCCTTATTCCTCTGTTCCCCTCCCTGCCTTAGGTCCTCATACAGACTCTACAATAATGGTTTTATACCATATTTGTCCTTATCGGACTGAGATAGTTCACTCAGCATACTGCTCTCCTGTCCCTCCCAAGTTAGATAGTAGTTTATAAAACCATTGCTCCTGAGAGCTGGATGGGTATTTTTATTTTGTTGGGATATTTTTTCCCCTGCTTGTGTAATCCCTTCTCCCAGCTTTAAAATGTTATGTAAATCTATATAATTAGGCAGATCTAACAATGAAATGTAATCTAGGATGTGGTAGAAAGAGTATCAACTCCAAATGAGATTGAGTATAACTATAGGAGAATTTTTTTAAAGTAGAAAGGTAAGAAAAGGAAATCATTTAAGGGAAATAAAACGAAAGACTGTAGAAAACCTAGGCATTTCTGAACTGAGCATTCTATTTGAAAAGAAAATTCTAGTTGACTTTTTCACATGACTATTAGTGACACTTATCTCGGATGACTGATTTTTTTTGGTAGTAACTCTCTGCAAGACTTTAAAGCTGATATGTTCACCAGACAATCCTGGCTAGCTTCTATTTTCAAGTATCAATGACCAGTGATTATTTTTTTAAATAATAATTTCTTTTCACATAAGATTCTTAGACTTTTTCCTGAAAAAAAAATCACGTGATCCATCTCAAGCCAGACAAATGCATTAATCATCTTTCTTTCTTCGTTGGACCCTTTCTGGTGTTTGACTTAGAACCACCATTTATGTCAAAGTTCCAATACCATGTGTGTGTTGCTGAATTTTACCTTTTCTTCCATCTGTTATATCCAAGTTTATATGATGGTTAGAAAAGCAATAAGGATAATATCTGTGATTAGTGAGTGGGTCGATGAGTGGACCCATGTAGGTGGACCAAATGATGTTTCTCTTGCTCACTAGCCTGGTCTCTGGGCTCCTCACACTCAGAATGGCACCTACTGCCACTGGACATTGCTGTCACTAAATCTTTAATCAACTTCTGTCTATTAATCCAATTCAGATTCATCTTCTGAAAAGTGTGAACAAAGTTACGCTTGAGTGCCTGTGGTGAAGCAGCTGCAGTCGCTAATTCTAATCCATCACAAGCAATGGTCAGCTCAGCACAGCCAGAGGGTTAGGTGAGTTGAACCACCAAACTATTGTCTATGTCTCAAATTAGCTGGGGGTGGGGGGAGGGGATCTTTTTAAAAATTGTTCTCAAGAACGTTTACTTTGCTCAAGAATGGAATATAGTAGTTTTAATATTAACATTTCCAAATCATTTTGTATTTATCAGATACCCTATCTCATATCTGGAGGGTCAGCTGTGAGTTAATTCTGACTCAATGGTGCACAAGCACAAGAACAATTTCATACCTAAATACCTTATATACAAGGAAAAGAGAAAAAACGTTTAAAAATAGTCTATCATTTAGTGCCAATTAATTTAATATAACTATGGTCAGTTCTCCCTCTCTTTCTCCTTAATGGTCTCAAATTGCTTTGTACTTAGAGATCCGTTGTTCTCCCCATGGGAATGTCATTTCTTCCATAGGTAGGATAAAGCAAGTCTTTCTGCGGTTCCCAAGGACTTGTTCACCAGGCCCCTGTTTATTTACAAAATAAAATCAGTGAAGTCCTACCTGAGCTCATTTTCAACCCTGAACCCTTTCCTTCGGGCCAACTCCATGAGGAAGGCTCTGCGGGTGGTTCCCATTTTCTTCTCCAAAATGAAGAGGACCAAGTCCTGAAACTTGATGTCCTGCGTGGAGCCCATGGATGTGTCCATCTGTCTGGCTCTCTTCTTCCGAGGGCCAGTGCAGGCCATTTGCAGTGGGTCCATGGGGACAGGCTGCTGCTGCTTCTGGCTCTGCCAGCAAGTGGTGCCTTCTGAAGTGAGGGCAGAGCCTGCCACCCTCCAAGAAGAGCTTTGAAGTCCTCTCAGCAGCAGACTTCATGGGCACTGCCCTCGAGATGATTTCCTGGTGCAGAGCAATGGGAATGTCTACCAAATGATGTTCAGCTTGTCTGTCTGTTTGAAGGTCATAATGAAAACAGTAAAGGAACTTTTTTATACTGATACATACACAACCTCATCAGATTCTCAGGGAGGCTTTGTGAGGAAGTAAGGGATCATCATCATTCCCATAATTTATGTGTTTACTTTTTAACTTGTTGAGCCCCCTCTGTTGTTCTGTGCATCCCTTTTAACTTCCTGCCTCACATGTATGCCCCTCTTCCCCTAAACCACCATTGCAACGTGATTTCCATAGCTTGCATGGATGTTAAAGACTGCATGTCTTTTTTATTTTGCTTAAATGGCATTCTATTTCACATTGTGCTGATACCCCCTATTCAACCTCAGAACAGTTTTTCAGACCTGTCCACACTACCAGAGTTCTAATCTGCTGTTTCTAACTGTTCTGTAGTGCTTCGTTGTGGGCATTTACTCTATTTTCTCCACACTGATGTATTTTCATAAGTGAGGAAAAGAAAGCTCTGTCAACCTGACACATAGGTCCAAGATAACAAAAAAGGGATTAAATCAAGTATGAGTCCAAGTCTTCTGACTTGAACCCTAACAATTCATAGTCCTTTCTCCCTACCCCCAGTAGACAAAGATTTCCCAAAGGAGCCCTGGTGGTACAATAATTGAGTGCTTGGTTACCAGCCAAAAGTTTAGTAGTTCAAATACATCCAGAAGCTCTGTGGGATGAAAACTTGGTGATCCGCACCCTAGATTGTATCCCAGAAAACCTTCTAGGGAAGCTCTCCTCTGCCATGTGGAATTGCTTTGAGTTGAAATGGACTCAGTGTCACCACATAACAAAGTTATTGAGAGAATAATCTGTGATTTGGAATGAAGTGGGATCTTTACCTTTAGATGTAATCACTGCCATAAAGAAACATGTCTATAGGTGTCTATGCTGAGTCAAGCATGTGCCTTTCACAAATACATCTTATAGATCTCCTTTCCTGAGTATATGGCCAACATCAAGTCAAGAACCTACAAAGCTTACCAATGGGATTTTCACAGCATCACTGACAGGTAATGCCACTCTCTTCATTTGATTAAAGCACTGTCAAGGAACTTTGAACATCAAAGCTAGAAATGGTTGAGCTGGGACTTTAACTCAGACCTCTTTGATTTCAGAATCTGTACTGATCCCCACTGAGATGCCTTGTTTATCACCTTCTTTCTACCGTAGCAATCTGAGTTCAGCTTATTCACTCTGCCTTGTCATCTGGGATGTCGAGCTCCTCTGTATGCACATGACCCGCTCAACTGAACAGTTTGAGTTGTCAGAAAACATTTGCAAAACTTTGTGTAGCTTAAGGAAACAAAATCATGGATCTTCAAGTGGGAGTTGTAGAGAAATAAATAGTAGCTCTGTAAAAGGGAAAGCACTTCAGCAATTTTCATGTACTGTCCCCATCATGGCTCTGATGCCACTTCATAGCCACCCTCAGTCGGGTTTCCAAGTCTGGAGGAGACTGTCTGTCATCTTTTTCCCCCTCAGATTCACTGGTAGAGTTGAATTCTGGAGATGTGTAACTTTTTGATTGGGCCCACAATTCACTGCAGATTATGCCGTCAGCACTCCTTCCTTAACAAATAGAGCTTTCTAAAATATATAGAGGGCCCCTTAGTGTTAGTGCGGGGTGTTAGCCAGTCAGCTCAGACTGATAGAGTCCTTAAGGGCGACAGAACAGAATCTTGCCTAATCCTGCAACATCCTTATAGTCTCGGCTGTGCTTAATCCCATTGCTGTAGTCACTGTGTCAATCAAAGGCAGGTCTCCTCTTTCAATGACTTTTTACTTTTCCAAGCACGATGTCTTTCTCCAGAGACTGCCCCATCCTGACAACAAGTGCAAGGTGTGCGAGACAGTCACCATCTTCGCCTTCAAGGCGCATTCTGGTTGCACGTTCTCCGTGGCCAGTTTGTTTCTTTTTCTGGCCGTGCATGGGATACTCAGTATTCTTCACCATCACCACAATTCAAAGGCATCCGTTTTTCTTCTTTGGTCTTCCCTAAGCATTGTCCAACTTCTACATGTGTATGAAGGGCTTTTTAAAGTTTTTTAAATTGTAATCATTTTTATTTCAAGTGTATTTTGTAATAAAAAAATCAAGATGCATTTATTCCTTTTAGATGTAGAATTTGACAAGATTCCAATCCAGTGCATTCCAAATCTATCTTCTTTGCTATTGTACAGACTCTGAGACCTCACTCTCGCCACCACCTTTTGCCTGTATGAAGTTTTAAAGATACTGTGACTGGGATCTGGGATCATGCACACTTTAGAGAGCCTTGCTTTAGCACTTTAAAGATTTCCTTGGTAATAGATTTGCTCAACACAATCTTTATATTACTAACTGCTGCCTCCATAGATATTAATTGTGGATCCAAAGAAATTAAATCCTTGGCACCCTCAAACCTTTCTCCATTTGTCATATTGTTTATTGGCTCAGTAGTGAAGACGTTTGTTGTGTTACTCTTGAACTATAATCCATTTTGAAGGTTATAGTCTTTGGGTGTTATCAATAAGTGTTTCAGTTCTTCATTTTCTGCAAACATCTTCTGCATAATGCAGGTTGTTGATGTCTTCCTCCAATCCTGATGCCACATTCTTCTTCCATATAGTTCAGTTTTTCAGATTATTTGCTCAGCATACAAACTAAGTATAATAAACAGATACAACCTTAACACTTACATTTTATGATTTTAAACCAGGCAATAATCCTTTGTTCTGTTTGAACTTGATCTATGGACAGGTTCCACATGCGTACAAATGAGTGTTATGGAATTCTCCATCTGAGGAAATTGTCAATTGCTCACCTCTCTCCCACAGAGCTTCTAGTGGAATCAAACCATCAGAGAGGTGGGACCTTTGAGTTATCAGCATAACTCCCGTCGGACTAGGTCACCAGAACTCATTATAGAGGGAGAACTCTTAACAAAAGTGTCAAAGGACTATCCTAGGTTTGATTCAGGTGCTTTTCTTGCTCTCATAATCCACTCTCCTCTACATGTCTTTACCCATAAAATCCCATGCCACTCTGTGATGTGATGAGCTCAGCCCTTTTATGTACTAATCATTTGGCTGGAACCATGTAGGCCTTATGCAAGCTGAATCCCTAGCAGCCAGCATACTGCCTGGTGCAAACCAAACCCACTGGCATTGAGTCAATTCTAACTTTGCTTAAAGGACAAAGTCGAACTGCTTCACAGGATTTCCAATGTTGTGCATCTTTACAAAGCAGACTGCCATGTCTTTCCTCTGTCTGGTAGACTGGTGAGACAGAACCAGTGACTTTTAGATTAGCAGTCTAGCTCTTTAATAACTGTACCACCAAGGCTCTTCCTAGGATCTATCCTTAAGCTGATTCCCACTCACAGCAGCTCTCTTTGCTTTCCCAAGCTGTAAATCTTCACAGGAAGACTCTGCCTCATCTTTCTTCCATGGAGCAGCCAGGGAATTTGAACCATTGACCTTTTGGGTTGCAGTTCTATGCATAATACTCTATGCACCTGGGCTGGAATAAATTAGAATTCAAATGCGGATTAATATTATTGATTTGTAATGAATTATTTATATACAAATTATTATCATCATCAAGTAGTATTATTCTTAAGCTTTTGGGTCTTTTGGATAACCATGTGGAAAACCACGTGACTCTCCTGATTATCCTAATCCACCTCACGTATTTCCAAGGAAATGTCTCTCAAATACGAGCAAATGTGATATAGTTCAACACTACTTGAGTTTAGCACCCAGATATATCTGAACTATCTTATCAAATTACCAAACCAGTCTGTGCCTTAATTTACTCATCTATGCAATGGAGCTAGAGTGATTTCTTAATCATAGGTGTTTATGAGGACTAAACAAGTACTTGAAAGAGTCCTAGTATACTGTTATTTTTCTTAGTGCCTTTGAGTATATCTCAGCGACCCTGTGAACAGCAGATCTGAACCCTGGCTGATCCTGCACCTTCCTCATCATCTCTCACATCCTTGAGCCCATTGCTGCCGCCATTGTGTCAATTCATCTTGTTTAGTGTCCTCCTCTCCTGACCCTCCACCTTTCCAAGCATGATGCCTCCTTTTAAGGAGTAGTCCCTCCTAGCAACATGCCCAAAATATGTGAGTCCAGTCTTTGTAATTCTTGACTCTAAGGATCCCTGAAAACTAACTGGTATATAAGTATTAATTACTGCCATTATAATTACTCAAACCTACTTCCCTCCTTGCTCCCTTTTCTGTCCCTGCTTTTCTCCTGTGTTTCCATTCACTAGTATATAGGTGTTTCAGACAGTACTTTCCATTGGCTCTTTGCTTTAACTGTGGTGGTGGTTGTAGTTAGTTGCAGTTAAGAAGACAACAACTCATAATAACCCAATGAAAAGCAAATCTGAAATTTTCCCTAGCCTGCCTCATCCTCACAATCTGTGGTACGTTCAAGTCCATGCTTACAGTCCATCTCTTTGCGGGTCACCCTTTCCCCTTTCTTTCTCTGACCCTCCACCTTTTCTAGCATGATGTCTTTTTTTAAGGTCTTGTCCTCTCTTGATAACATGGCTAAAGTGTGTGAGATGAAGTTTCACCATCCTTGCCTCTAAAGAGGACCCTGGTGGCACTTCCTTCAAGATAGCCTTGATTGATCTTTTGGCAGTCCATGATATAGTCAATATTCTTCACAAATCAGAGGCACGAAACAAAAGCATTGTTTCTTCTTGGTCTTCTTTATTCATTGTCTAACTTTCAGATGCATATGAAGCAATCGGTAATACTATGGCTTGGATCAGGTGAACCTTAGTCTTTAAACTGATATCCTTGCTCTATAATAACACTTT